AAGCAGGCACGTGATTTGGTCTAATTGTCCTCATGGCTTCTATTTAGGGTGGGCGCTTTACTATTCTCATAATGCAGCTTCAGTTATAGCATGAACTCTGGCAGCCCTGTTAGCCCCTCAGGTCTGTCAGAAGAGAGGATTTGAGTGGTTCAGTTTGCCTTCACCATCCACATTGGGCAGTGTCAGGACAGCCCCCTGTCCTGCTTGTCCAGCCCACCCATCAATGTTCTATCTGCTGTGGGCCAGCATGTGACCATGCGAATAAATGAATGGGTGAATGAGTAAATTTTTTTTTTTTTTTGAGACAGAATCTCACTCTGTCACTCAGGCTGGAGTGCAATGGCGTGATCTCAGCTCACCGCAACATCCGCCTTCCAGGTTCAAGTGATTCTCCTGCCTCAGCCTCCTGAGTAGCTGGGATTACAGGCGTGTGCCACCAATGCCTGGCTAGTTTTTGTATTTTTAGTAGGGGCAGGGTTTCACCATGTTGGTCAGCCTGGTATCAAACTCCTGACCTTGTGATCCGCCTGCCTTGGCCTCAAAAAGTGCTGAGATTACAGGCATGAGCCACTGTACTCGGCTTTTTTTTTTTTTTTTTTTAAGGCCGATTGCAGTAACTTTCTTTTAATGGGTTTTCAGACTCACAGACAGGGGCTGTTTGGATGAGGCTGTGCCACTAGTCAACTGTCTTCACTGTGGAGTCCTAATCACTCATTTTGTTTTGTAGATCATGAAGATTCATTCAAACTGTCTTTGCTTCCATTCCTTCATAGTACGTTATTTGGTCTGAAAGTACATCCCTCTTTCTCTCGTGCGTTGTATTCAAACAGGTTGCTGCTGCTTCTCTGTCATCATTAATCTTTTTCATCACATCCTTATTCCTCTTAGCATATTCGGGGTGTAACATATTACCTTCTGTGCCCAGGGATGGGAAAGTACAGGCAGGTATCAAGAAAAGAGAAATCTTCCTCCTGTGAATGGTAGGTACTCAGGCCTGACCTGCATGAAACTGCTGGTGGACCCAACCCTTTGGGTCTGCCGAGAGAAGTCTGCCAGGGACCACACGCCACCCAACACCAGAGGCTTACATCAAAAAGGCCTCACCAGAAGCAGGAATAGAACATGAATTCACAGCCTTAGGCTGAACGGCTCTCACAGCAATTCTTGCCCATGATGCCAACATGGCTTCCTGGGCTGAAGTTATCACTTCAAATGTATTAGTCTCTTCTGCTTTCTCATTCATCTCACGACTTTTCTAAAGCCTTGCTTTCACGGTCACTGCCTTGCATTTCCTCGACCATGGCTGTAATCTGGTCTCCTGTGACATTTCAGGAATATATTGCTGTTATTCAGGGTAAGCATGTGTATGGAGCCTCAGATACATTTCTTTTTTTTTTTTTTTTTTTTTTTAGATGGAGTCTTGCTCCGTCTCCCAGGCTGGAGTGCAGTGGTGTGATCTCGGCTCACTGCAGCCCCTGCCTCCTTGTTTCAAGTGATTCTCCTGTCTCAGCCTCCCAAGTAGCTGGTGCTACAGGTGTGCACCTCCATGCCTCGTCATATATATATATATATATATATATATATATATATGTATTTTTTTTAATTTTTTTTTTTTTTAGTAGAGATGGGGTTTCACCATGTTGACTAGGCTGTTCTTGAACTCCTGACCTCAGGTGATCCGCCAGCCTTGGCGTCCCAAAGCACTGGGATTACAGGCGTGAGCCACCATGCCCAGCCTTCAGATAAACTACTATTTTCTTGCCATTAGGACTCAAACCTTAGTGTTGATACCAGTTCCACAAAGTGTCCCAGCACACCTCATTAATGGGAGGCTGAACGGTCGACAAGGGATGGACTGGTATTCTGCATCTAGCTTTTGTGGAGCTGTGGATTGTTCGTTTGCTGGAGGTAGATGAACTTTACTGTGTTTCTTAGGCTTCTCCGGTTTGTCATCAGCAGTTGAAGAAACAGTTGGTTTCACTTGTTCTATATTGGATCACCTTTAATGGGCACCAATGTCAAAATCATACTTTCCTCATCATCTGTTTCCCCCTCAAAGAAATTCTTGTTGCCACTAACAAAATTTGAGTCTGACATTTTTGGCAATGCCCCTGTCTTGTCCATTCGGTGCTACCTTTTTTAAAAAAAATTAAACTGGGTGCAGTGACTCACACCTGTAATCCCAGCCCTTTGAGAGGCCCAGGTGGTGGATGGCTTGAGACCAGGAATTCCAGACCAGCCCAGGAAACATGGTGAGATCCCCTGTCTCTACCAAAAATACCTGTTTGTTTTTTGAGACAAGGTCTTGCTCTGTCACCCAGGCTGGAGTGCAGTAGCACAATCTCAGCTCACTGTACCCTCAACATTCCAGGCTCAAGTGATCCTCCCATCTCAGCCTCCTGAATAGCTGGGGCTATACAGGTGCATGCCACCATGCCAAGCTAATTTTCTTTTTTAAATTTTTGTAGAGACATTTTTACGCCATGTTGCCCAGGCTGGTCTCAAGCTCCTGGGCTCAAGTGATCTGCCCTCCTCTGCCTTCCAAAATGTTGGGATTACAGGCATGAGCCACTGAGCCTAGCCAAGTGAATGTTTTTCTCCTGCTCTCCTGGTCTGTCTAAATCACATCCTTCTCCCAAATTGTTCATACCTCGGTCTTAGCCTGTCTCATGCTCGGCCTATCCCAGAGTCACTGTGGAATGGATCCTTCTCCTGGAGGTAGAAATCTTTAGTTCCATGCGGCTCTCTGTCCCAGCTCAGCAGCTGCATCTTGCCGTAGTAAATAACTGCTCCCTGATTTCAACAGAGACTTGAATAAGATCTCCAGCAAAGGAATTGGCTCTTATTTATATATAATCTTACCTCTCTGTGTGCAGTACAATGGTTTACATGCAGTAGGGGTCCAATAAGTGCTCATTGAATTAAGCAGAGAACATTTAGGAATCGCCTACTGATTGCCAGACACCACACCTGGCCCGCACTTACTGAGGCCTTGATGGGCTCCAGGGACTGTGCTAGCCACATCAACCTCACCACAATCCCATTAGATAGGCCTTATTATTGTCCCCGCATGCAGTTAAATGTGAGGTGCTGAGACCGCATAACTTGCTTAACTAGTGGGGCTGTGGGTCTAGGCAGGCAGCCTGACTCCAGAGCCAACTCACTTAACTGCTTTACCAGGCTGTTTCATGATGGTGTGCTTGACAATGAAACTTCTGGAATTAAGCCATTCCAATAACAGCCACATCAAAAACACTGAATGACTCTAAATGAATCTCTCCAACAGACATTCACAATAATCATGCCCCACCCAGCCCCAGGGAAGATGGGGCTCAGGACTGGGGGTGAGGGATGGAGCAGGATGCCACTGCACAGATGACTTGGAAAAGAAAAAGCTGCAAGTTGAATGACCATGTTTATCAGACCTGGCAAAAACATTCTGTACCTATCCCTTGAGAGGTTCGGCAGCTGCAATTTCCCAAAACACAGTTGTGCAAGAGCAATGGTTGGGTGCATTCGTGGCTTTGGCCCTGGACCAAATCTCAGACAAATGGGGCAGTGCCCACATCACAGCCTTGCTCATGCCTTCTGAGGTCTCTGTCAGATTCTCTCCCCAGAAAATGGCACTTCAGGCACCAACCCACCCTCAGTGTGGTGGTGTCTCCATAGCATGAGCCCCCAAGGCGGCTCAGCTTGGTTTGGTCTCCATGAAGATACTTGCCACACTGCATGGCGAGGCTTGCCTGCCTCTCCCTCTGCAGCCAGCCAGGAGCTGGGCACTTCCAGATTCCCTCGGTCACCAGTACAGGCAGCCGCATGTTGGAGAGTTGCTCCAAATACCAACTGGGTTGGAAAACATCTCCCGGTCCTGAAACCAGAGAGGAACTGGCAGAGGCCATTTTATTTCACCAAATAATTCCATGTGACTGCTTCAAACCTAGGTACTTATTAAAAATGTAAGTTCCCTGGGCCCACTTAGCCCTAAAAAAATCAAAAAGAGGGCTGCAGGGGTGGGGAAAGTGGAATACTGGCTTGCGTAATTTTCCAACCCCCCTCCAAGTGATTCAACTGTGCAGCCAGTGAGGCAGTCCTTCAGATGTATGAGGACTCTGCTCTGCTCTCCCCTCTCCAAAGGGAACATGGGCTTCTCCCTTCACACAATCACAATCACACACTGGCCTTCTTTCTGTTCTCCAAGCACCAGGCTCTTCCCCACTTCTGGACCCTTGCTAGAGCTGTGCCCCCTGCAGGAATGCAGCTGTCAGACCCGGTGGAAAGAATTCTTCATTCAGGCTCACCTCAAGTACATTCAGTCACAGCACCTTTATTTTTTTTGGAGATGGACTCTCGCTGTTTCACCCAGGCTGGAGTACAGTGGTGTGATCTCAGCTCACTGCATCCTCTGCCTCCCAGGTTCAAGCAATCCTCCTTCCTCAGCCTCCCAAGTAGCTGGGATTACAGGTACCTACCATTGTGCCCAGCTATTTTCTTAGTAGAGATGGGGTTTTGCCATGTTGGCCATACTGGTCTTGAACTCTGGACCTCAGGTGATCTCCCTGCCTTGTCCTCCCAAAGTGCTAGTGTTACAGGTGTGAGCCATCGTGCCCAGCCTTAGCACCTTCTTCTTTACAAGATTCTTTACCATCTGTCTCCCCAGCAACCCACAAGCCCCCTTTTCCCCTCACCACCAAGAATCCCATGCCTAACTGTGTATGCAGTAGGCGCACCATAGGTGGCTGTTGAATATAGGCTGTGCTACTGATACACAAAAAGGGCAGCTACTACCAGTTAACTGTTGCTAGAGGGCGGTAGAATAAACACCCTAGTTTGCCATAGTTCACAAAGGAGAGCCAAGGCCTGGCAGGATTGCAGGACACCTTGCACCCAGAACCCCACTGCCATGGTCCCCTCTCTGAAATGCCCCACGATATGGGTTCCCTACAACCCAACTAAACCAAGTGCGATCTACCCAACAACAAATGAGACGCCCAGAGCCAGAATAGTCTAGATGAATGTATTGTCATTTACACATTTCATAGAAAATGGAGCAAATGGGTCAGGGTTGTACAAAAGAAAATCCACGTTTATACAGGTTGCTTTATTTACATCTGGGAGCAAGGCTATCCTGGCATCAGGCACAGCAGCTGCACTTGTCTGGCATCCCTTTGCAGATGCAGCCCTGGGCACACTTGGCACAGCCCACAGGGCAGCAGGAGCAGCAGCCTGGGGAAGAAGACAGAGCGAGGGGTCAGAGCAGACTCCACCAGGCACCTCCCTCCCCCAGCAGAGGCCCAGCTCGAGCCCTGCCTCTGGCCCCAGCTGACCCTCATTTCAGGATGGTGTGGCTTTGTCAGGAGACAACAGGTAGATCTTTGGGATGAAGGTTTTATGTGAAAAAGCTGCCTAGCCCCACCTGAGTCCGGGACAGGGCAGAAGAGTGGACAGGTAGTGATTGGGGGTATGAGAACAAAGGGAGGCCAGTTCCCCCAAAACCCACACTTAGGTGAGGAAAGTCTTCACAATCCCACAGGTGGCAAACCCCTGACATAGCAGTTCTGGGGAGGGCCCGGGTAGCTCTGGGCTGCATCATCAGATTAGAAACCACACGGGGTCACCAAGATCCTGCGCCTGAAGTGCTTCAGGACCCTGAAGGGTTAAGAAGGCTGCATCAGGATGCAGGAGACCTAGGTTCACGTTCCAGCTTTGTCCCCAGCACTACCTGGTACCGTCTCTGGGCCTCAGTTTCCAGTTTAGTAAGGAGAGGCTAGGACTCACCCATTTTTAAGGCACTTTGAGGTCTGATTCTGAATCAGGTGCAGAGGGAGGTGTTTGGGGAAGCTGGTCACTGGCCCACCCGTTGCCTGGGGAGCTCTGAGTTCCCTGCTCTAACTTGGCCCATCCCCCAGATTCTCAGGGAAGTCCCCATGCTCACTCTTCTTGCAGGAGGTGCATTTGCAGTCTTTGCATTTGCAGGAGCCAGCACAGCCACAGGAGCCACCTGCAAGGAAGAGAAAAAGGCAGTGAGCGGTGAGTGAAATGCAGAAGGCACAGCGGTAGTCAACAACCCTTGGTGCCTCCTCCTCTGTGGGGCCGGGCCAGCACTCAGAGCTCCTTTCCCACTCATGGGAGAGGAAGAGAAGCCCCATCTCCTCTCCCTTCATGCTGGGAAGGGCAAGTGTCCTCTTGCTTTTACTCCATAAGCAAGGTTCCAGGCTCCAGACACAGCCCAGGAAGACTGGGACTGGAGGCCCGAAGCTTGTGTCCTGAACTCCGAAGAGGCAGTCGTCCGCTACCTTCCATCCACCCTGGCTGCTCAGAGCCTGGTCAGAGCATTGGGGCTCAGCCAACAGCCCCCCTGACCAACTGTGTGACATGGAATAGGACAGCTTTGGGCCTCAGTACCCTCAACTCTGATTTAGAGACACAGGGAGGAGGGAAGTGGTCTCAGGGACGTGATCGGGAAGAAAGCGCTTAACGAAGTAAAGGAGTCCGCTTCAGCTCAGAATTTAAAATGCGACTTTCTCAAACCCAGAAACAGTTTGTACTGTGCCTGAGAAGCGGGCATCCTAAGGAGCAGAACCAGGTGTCCCTTACCAGGTGAGCAGGAGCAGTTGGGGTCCATCTCGAGGCAAGGAGAAGCGGGAGTTCCTAATCCAGAAGCAAACACGCTGCGACACAGATGAAAGGCGTGGTGACGCCCAGGAGCCGCCGGCTCCCTGTATAGCCTCAGGTGGGGGTCGGGCGCAGAGGCCCCACCCCGTCCTTGCACCCGCCCGGCAGATTCTGCGATGACCGCGGTCCCGCGCTGGGCTGTGCGCAGCAGGCGGGCCGGGTGCACCATCCCACCGGCTGAGCGCAGTGCGCGCGGCGGAGTCCGCCCCTTTGGCCCCACCCCTTTGGCCCCAGCTCACTGAGAAACTGGCAGTAGGTGTTGTCCCTGCTGTCCTGCCTGCCTTCCCAATTTCCCCGGCATTACCTGCCACTCCCTCCCTAGGCGTGCTGGGAAACTCGGAATCCCGCCCGTCTAATCACCCCCAGCCCCCACTCCGCTGTGTGTAGCTTTGCATTTCCCAGAGACACTGGATCACGTCCCTGGATCGGCGGAAGAGGGCGAGAGAGCAGTGTGCAAACGAGACGCCAAGGACGGGACCCTGGGATCTCCTGCATTGCCGATCTCTGTCCCAGTCGCCACCTCAGTCTGTTGGCCACGTTTCTCCTATGCCTAGGAACAGAACAGACACAGGGCTCTACCCCCTTCCTTCCTTTCTCCACTCTTGAGAGGCTGAATGGGCACATTTTTTCCGGGTCCTCCTTTGCATAAAACTCTCCAGGGTCTCCCCACAGCCTAGCAGGGCACCCCTCTACAGGATGGCAGTTTGGAAAATGTGGGATGCTCCCAGAAGAGAGATCATTTTAGGTGACATGCGGATCCTGGATTAAATGAAAATTCAAGAAACCTGGATGTTTTTCCTTCCATATTCCTATTACTCTACATAGCATGAATCCATGTTAGTCACTTGGCATCTTTGAACTCACAGCAATCCTAAAGGGACACGCATTCTGTTTATGAATGCATATTCCTAATCTGGACAATGACAATACAAGGAGGTCAAGCGCATTGGCCCAGGGTCAGAGGGCCTCGAAGTGGCACTGCTGGGTCTGAATCCTCTCCGCTTCCCCTGGAAGAGAGGGCAGTGATGAAGCTTGCCTTTGGCCTAGGTATCATCTCCTACTGCTTGAAGTCTTTAAACAAAACCAAGCATCAAGGTCAGTCCTGGAAGCAAAACAGGGGATATGAATAGGGAGAATTTGATGGCAACATTCTGTGTCTGGAAGTTAAACTGATTCTTTTTTCAGTAGTGCTAATGAGTTTACTTTTCATATAAATATATCCAAGGAAATAGGAATCATTTAAAAGAAAAATGTTATGTCACATATTGGTGCAGGTGGTAGTGGAACTGGCAGGCATCCTTCCTTTTCTGTTATGGGGACAGGGACTGCCTTGCTCATGGCTTTATATTTCTGGTGTGAATCCCTGTTTTGTGGGAAGAGGGCAAGGACCCTGTCAGGACCCAGGGCCATGCTCATGTGGCTGATGAGAAAGACGAAGGACACACAGGGAGGGACTCCAGGCCTGGCTTGTTTGTCTGGAGTAAAAATGTCATCTATCTATGCCATTATTTGAGCTGTTTGGGCTGTTAGCACCAGATACCTTAGACTGGGTACCTTAAAATGCAAAAATCTATTTCTCTCAGCTCTGGAGGCATGGAAATCCGAGGTCAAGGCACCAGCATACTTGGAGTCTTGTAAGAGCCCCATTCCTCATGGATGTCTCTTTCCTGCTGGATCTTCACACAGTGGAAATGGTTGAACAAGCTCCCTCGGGCCTCTCTTATTAAGACACTAATCCTATTCATGAGCGCCTTGTTCTCTTATTGCAGTCACCTCCCAAATGCACCACCTCAATCCCAACACATTGAAAATTAGATTTGCACACGTGAATAGTGGAGGCACACAAGCATTTCAGCCAGAGCAGCCATGAATCATAATAACAAAATAATAGTTAATATTATAGATCACTTGCCATGAACAAGGCACCATTCTAAGTTCTTTATACCTACAAAATCATTTATTTCTACAAGTCAGACCCCATTACAGTCATATGCTGCTTAGTGATGGGAATGCATTCTGAGAAATGCATTGTTAGGTGATTTCATGGTAGTAAAAATATCATAAAGCGTATAATAACAAACCTAGATATTATGGCCTACCACAGACCTAAGCTTTGTGATGCGGCCTGTTGCTCCTATGCTTCAAACCTGTACCACATGCTACTGTACTAAATTCTGAAGGCAGTTATAACATAGTGGTAAGTATTTGTGTAATTAGATGTAGCTAAACATAGGTTCAGTAAAATTACCTTATAATCTTATAGGACCACTATGCTATATGCAGTGTATCTATAACTAAAATGTCCTTACACAGCACATGATGTATTACTATATTCTACCCTTTCACAGTGCAGGAAACTGAGCCAGAGAGAGGTTGAGTCACCCAGGTATACCTGATGACACATCATACAGGCTGACCATAGGGTAATGCCCTCAACCACAACCCTCTGTCACCCTGCCATGTGACACATGAAGACACTGATTCTGACACAGAGGCACAGTGGGAAGAGCACTGAGCTGGCTGTCAGAGCCTCTGCATAGTTGTATGTCCTCTCTGGGCTTCAGTCACCCAGCTGTCAGTCAGGGGCACAATCGGGATAACTAACCATGGGCGCTTCCAGCTCTGGACTGCGAGGAGCCGGGCTTAGCATCTGCTGACAGACAGCATGATCTCCCACTATGGCGAGGGCATGAGGACAGTCATGGCATAGATTCATTCATGCCTTTACTTCTGAACCATGTGACCTTGGGAAGATTGCTTAACTCTTCTAGAAGACAGCGCAACTCCTCTAGAAAACAGAACCATTTCACCAAACCCTGTGCACTCACTGTCTCTTTGTGTGAAGATCAAATGACTTGAAAGGTGGGAAAGGCTTGTTCTCTGAATGCTGGAGCAGTGTCTATCCTGGAGAGCTGGTGCAGGAGGTCATTCACATGCCCTTGAGACCAGATCAGCAAGACTCCAGATCCATCTCTAACTTCCAGTCCACATAATACTTCCAGGAAGATGGACTTTTTCCAAGGGGCTTGATGGGAGCTAACAGGATTGTCTGTCTGGAAAGTCCATGTGGACGAATAATTATAATAGCGCTGTTGAGTAAGCCCTAGGCCACTAGTACCAGGCCACTGTCCCATTTAACCCCTATATGGAAATATAATCTCCTTTATGCAGATGAAGAAATGGAAGCTCAGAGAGGTTAAGTGACTTTTGCAGGCCACACAGCCAGTAAGGAGTAAAGCGGGCTGTAAAACAGTTGTATGACACCAAAGCCTGCACTTGGCCCAGGCTACCTTCTGAAATTCCCTCTTCACAAAGAGCACCTGCAACCCATCTAAGTCCTGACTCCTGGGCCTCCTGTCTCATCTTCCTTCTGATTGAACATCAAGTTACAATTCCCTGAGCAGATAGCTGGAGGGACCAGCTGTTGGTAGCAATGATCAGTCCTCATCCTTCTCAATTCCACCACATGCCTTCAAACTACAGAATATGCCATCACCCCTGCATAGGTGGAGTCAAAATACTTCACCTGGGAACTTTAATTGCTATCTATAGTCAGCTTGCCAGGATAATGCTGGACACTTCGCTCCGTCTCACTATTCACTGTACTGGCCTGAAGTAACCAAGGGCTGGAATTTGAAGGAGATGCAGCCTGACCTTGAGAGAAACTTCCAAAGATTCTGAACCAAGTTAGAACAAGGAGCTCTCAGATGTAGCGAGAGTTCTATTAGTGACATAGGGCAGGTCAAGACTGATAGTTTCTTTTGGGCATGTCAAGGCCAGCACTGCTGAAGGTGTGTGTCCACGCACTGGGGCCAGTCTACAAACCGTTCCCAGTCTGAAATATACACTGTAGAACAAATATGCAATGTTTGTAAATTCTTTTATTTTTCTGTGAGTTTGTTTTTCATATGTGTATTTAAATATAGCCGTACATATTTTCATATATTTGATTTTCATAAGTATTTTATTTTCACATATTTATATTAATAATTTGCCTATTGAATATAAAAAGTAGATTTTGTTTTTATATTTCATACTAATTCATTTTAGTTCACTTTGCCAAAGCTTAGGTCTGTTACAGATGCCCATGCCATTGTATCTCTTACATGTATAATGCCTTTTTTTTTTTTTTTTGAGATGGAGTTTCCCTCTTGTCACCCAAGCTGGAATGCAGTAGGATGATCTTGGCTCCTTGCAACCACTGCCTCTTAGGATCAAGTGATTCTCCTGCTTCAGCCTCCTGAATAGCTGGGATTACAGGCACTTGAAATCACTCCCAGCTAACTTTTGTATTTTTAGTAGAGATGAGGGTTTCATCACGTTGGCCAGGCTGGTTGGCCAGGCTGGTCTTGAACTTCTGACTTCAGGTGATCCGCTCACCTAGGCCTCCCAAAATGCTGCAATTACAGGTGTGAGCCACCATGCCCGACCTACTGTATAATGCTTTTACATTTTTTAGCTGAGATAGGTAACACGATTTGCCTTAAGGCACTCTGTGTAAGATGATAGGACATGGTACTGGCACACACGTGTCTGGTCTCAGTGCAGTCCCTCGTCCCAGCTCTGTTTGGTGTCAGCTTCCTTTATCCAAGGCACATAATATAAAACAGAGCCAGAATAAAGTCAACTTTTATTATGATTAACATATTTTATTTTTGAAAAAACAAATGTACTATTGGGTCAGGATTATATGGAAAACAATTCCGGCTTTGGACACTTTCTACCTCTGGGAGCAGGGCTTTCCCCACATCAGGCACAGCAGCTGCACTTGTCCGACATCCCTTTGCAGACACATCCCTGGGCACACTTGGCACAGCCCATAGGGCAGCAGGAGCAGCAGCCTGGAGAAGAAGGGGAGAGTGACAGGTCACAGAAGACTTGACCAGGCACCTCCCTGCCCCAACAGCGGGCCTGGCCCAAGCTCACACCCAGACCCAAAGGAGGCTTAGTTCAGGATGGTGTGCTCCATCAGGAGACAATGCATCAATTTTTGGAGTGAAAGTCTTCCTATTGTAATGACCTACCCTGGGCTAGCATAACGGACTCCATTTTAGCTGTAAACGCCAACCTGGCTTCCCCCTCCTTATCACAGCCCCTTTGGATGCATAACTGGGTCATGCTGCA